CTCCGGCCCCCCGCCAGCCGGGAGACGCAGCTCGTAGCCAGAGAAGGCAGCTGCCCGCAGGATGTCAGGGGACAATTGGGGCAGCTGGCAGGGGCTGGGGAGGGGGACGTCCAGCGTGGTCGTCTGCAGGTCACCCTGCTGCACGGTGTTTTCCGCTGGCTGTGGCTCAGTCCCACAGCCATGCAGGGGCTGTAAAGCATGGAGGAGCTGCCCTCCATCCTCCTCCTCACTGGCCAGCAGCTTCACAGAGCTCAGCGGTACCCAGTGCCCTGCCATGCCAAGGCTCTCCTGCAAGTCCTCTTGGCTGAAGCACCTGCCCAGTGTGGGCAGGGGAAGGCAGCTGCCTGCTCCCAGGGCTGGGCACTGGCATTCAGAATAAAGCTGGAGGTGCATGGAGAGCCACATCTTGGATGTCTGGTAGTCTCCGTCCCCTGTGCAGCTGTCCCTGGCCAGTCCCGCTGGCACCAGCTGCTCCAGTGCCTCATCCCCATCACGTGCCTCCCCATCCTCCTGCAGCCGTGATGCCATCTGGGAGCCCAAGGCATGCCCCAGCTGGCTGGGGGTGCAGGATGGGTCCCTGCCCTCACGGCAGTCTGACCCAAACCCGTTGGCACAGTAGCCACTCATGTTCTGGGAATGGCTTTTCTGGGCTGCGGGTGCTGTCTGCTCAGCTGCGGGCGGCCCGTGGGGGGGGAGCACTGTTGGCAAGAGCCAGGCAAGTGAGTCCTCCTTAAGCTCAAGCATGGGCATCCCGATGGTCACACTCAGCTCCGCATTCAGGAGAGCCTGCTGGGAAACAAGCAGCGAAGCCGTCAGCCTCAGCTTGCCGAAACCTCCGCCAGCCTGGGGGTGATGAACCGCGTGCGCCGGGGAAGGGAACACTGCCGGACGGTCTGTCTGCTGTGCTCACACCCGGGAGAAACGCTGGCAGGCCTCTGCTCACTACAGCACCGGGGTCTGGTGCCAGGGATGGTCATGGCAGCTATCACACCGCAGCTTTTCCAGCTATGCCCCAGCTACCAGAGGTGGATGGGAGAGCTCTTACCTGCTCAGAGGCACAAGCGATCCCTGTGCATGAGCCAAGAAGAACAGGAAAGCAAAGCGTGCTGGGCCAGGGCAAGCAAAGCAGCCTGCCACCTCCTCTCCGCACTGGCGCTGGGGACTTCTTCAGCTTAGCAAGTTGCTTTTGTCCCCAAAGTGCTCAAAGGGCTGCTCAGCCCAGGCTGTTGCTGCCCCCAGCACTGGGAAACCAGGATGCAGTGGGGAACCGGTGGGTCGGACAGCGGGGAGGCACCCGGGCAACCAGACGGGTTTGGTGGTGCAAGAGGTGGAGGGAAGGAGGTGCTGAGCCCCTGCAAACACAGGGGATGCCAGCTCGGCCATGGCACACGCAGTGTGAAGGCTGGAGGAGGATCGTTCACTCACAAGTGTTTTTGGGAGGTGCGTCTCCGAGGGGACGTGCAGCTGGATGAAGCAGAGCCCGGCCATGCTCAGCAGCAGGACGAGGCCACTCAGCACTGTGGCAAGGAGGACCCAGGGAAAGCCTGTCAGGAGGTCACAGCAGGCTGAGGGGTGGAAGAACCCCAGCTGGTACACCCCCGCCTGCCCTACGCCAGTGCTACCCGAGTCCCCATGACAGGCTGGGACATTCAAGGGGTAGATGAGGAGCAAGCCCAAGGTGGATGGCGAGAGATCATCTCCCCAGGAAAGGTCGCCGCAGGGCATTAGTGGGCCACCAACTCAGACCAGAACAGCTCACGGGAGAGTGACCCACACCTCCGCACACGTCCGTGCTGCAAGCAGGACCTGAGATGTGACAGCAGTGGCTCAGCTGGTGAGAGGGCTCCCACCTGCGGGGTCTGACGGCGTCACCATGCACTGCTCAGTCTCCCGGCTCTGTTCCCTGGCCATGTCCGCAGCTGCTGTCCGGATGCAGTACTGCGTGCTGGGCTTCAGGTACCTGAAGGTGCATGGTGCTTCCTCCCCTCTCCGTTTGCAGGGCACCTGGAAGCAGAGGGGACATGTGGCCGAGACGGCTAGAGGTGGGTCTGTGCACAGCTCCACTCACCAGCACAGCCTCAACACTCCACTCGACCCATGGTGTGGGGCACAGACCCTCCCTCCCTGCTCCCCAGCACCTCTAGCACTTGTTTCTTCACCCCAGGAGGTGTTCGGGTCCCAGAGGATCTCGTTAAACACCTACTGCATGCTTCCATCTGAACAGAAATTGTGACAGGTTTTTCTTATTTGTGTGGTCTAGAAAAGGAAAGGGACCCCCTGCAGCCCCCTGCAAGCCCCGAATTGGGAGTGCAAAGCATCCCACGCCCGGTTGCGCTGCTGGGTGCGGGCAGGGCTGGGGCAGCTCTACCGGCACAGGCACTATCACACCGATGCAACTGGATACGGGTGTCCTTGCTGCACCAGGAAAGCTTTTGCAAGTCCCACGCCCTCCCAGCCTTGCCCACCGTGCCACATACTTGCTGGACGAGCACGTCCCCCTCGTACAGGCTCAGCCAGTACCACAGCTTCAGCAGCACCCGGGCGACCGGGCTTTTT